GCAGGGCCAGCCTCCTTGACCTAATTAGACTTCTCCACTCCCACATGGCTAGTAAATACAATAATTAATTTATAAAGAACTCTGAAACATCAGCTGGCAAAAATTCCCTATTAATGGTTTGTACAGAACGAAAGGAGAATTTAAGGTGTAGGCGATATGTGAAGTGTATGTGTGTATATATATACTCATATCATTTAACCCACTGAATTTCTAAGAATATCAAACTGTAAGTGTACCAAGTAAACAATGTTTAATAATTTCTTGTCCCTGAATTATAGCAAAAGAAATGTGTGACAAAATATTCCCAGATATATATATATTTGGGGTACATGAGACTTGAATGTCTATGAATATTCATACACATCTTAAGCACTATTGTAAACTATGTTGTTGTTTTTTTTTTAAGTTTATTTATTTTGGGAAACAGCGAAAGTATGAGTAGGGGAGGAGTAGAGAATGAGGAAGAGAGAATCCAAGGAAGGTTCTGTCCTGTCAGCACAGAGACCAGCATGGAGCTCTATCTCAAACACCAGGAGATCATGGCCCGAACCAAAATCAAAAGTTGGATGCTCAACTGACTGAGCCACCCAGATGCCCCTTAAACTATGTTGTTCTGTTTTAATTTTTTTTTTAAGTTTTTAATGTTTATTTATTTTTGAGAGAGAGAGATACAGAGTGTGATTGGGGAGGGACAGAGAAAGAGAGGGAGAAACAGAATCCAAAGCATCTTCTTGGCTCTGAGCTGTCAGCACAGAGCCCAATGCAGGGCTCAAACCCACAAACGACAGGATCATGACCTGAGCTGAAGTCAGATGCTTAACTGAGCCAGCCAGACACCCCTAAACTGTATTGTTCTCAAAAGAATGTTGAGAACAAGGAGGGTAGTCAGTTTAAATATTTCTCAGTGCCTTTATTATTTTTTATTATTATTGTTTATTTCTAGGAGAGAGAGAGAGAGAGACAGCGTGAGCAGGGGAGGGTCAGAGAGAGAGGGGGATACCGACTCTGAAATAGGCTCCAGGCTCTGAGCTGGCAGTCAGCACAGAGCCCGACGTAGGGCTCGAACCCACAAACCGCGAGATCATGACCTAAGTGAAAGTCGGACGCTTAACCGACTAAGCCACCCAGGCGCCCCTCTCAGTGCCTTTAGAGGCAACTGTAATGGCCATCTCATGGAGCGTTTGCCTACTTCAGAGAGATGGAAGGCAGAATTTTAAGATGGCTCCCAAGATTCTTCCTCCTGGTGTACATGTATTATGCCCTCCCTTTTAGTGTGGACAGGACCTGTGAATATGATGGGATGCCACTCTTTTGATCTGGTCCCATTACGGAAAAGTGATGGATTCATTTCTCCTATAATTTCATTACGTTATATAAGACTATAATAGTGGTAGTTGTGTGGTACTAATAATAAAAGTAATGGTGATAGCAGCAGCAGCAGGAGTAGACTGTAGAAAAATTCTCTTGCAGGCTTTGGAGAAGTTAACTCCATGTCATAAGAAGAGGGTCATATGATCAGGACCTAAGGACAGTCTCTTGGAGCTGGCCCTGGCTGACATCTGGCAAGAAAATGAAACTTCGTAGTTGCAAGGAACTGAATTCTGTCAACAGCCTATATGAGCTTGGAGGATGATTTGGAGCCTCAGATGGAATTGTCACCCCAGTGGATAACTTAATTGTTGTCCGGTGATATGCTAGGCAGACAATAAGCTATGCTCAGACCTCTGACCATCAGATACTGAGAGATAATAAAATATGTTGCTTTAAGCTGCTAGGTTTGTGATCATTTGTTATATAGTACTAGAAAACTAACACAAGAACCAACTGCATTTTTTTTCCTCTGGGTGCTATCCTTTTCTCTTTTCATCCTAGCAGTCAGGGTTGTACATTATACCATGCTCTTAACCACTTGACGTGGCTGATTGGACCAAGTTAAAACAGCTTGAGCTTTTGTCTGAAGATTTGGAAGTTGGGGCCAAGAGATTCCAGTTGGGAATCTCTGGAATGGAAAACAGATATAAAGGTAGAAGCTTTCTTAACACTATCTTCTGTCCAGTACTCCCTCTAGGGTATACAAGGCTCCGGGAAAATATTTGGGGGTGTGCAGGGTGGAAGCCATCAATAGCAAGAATGTGATTATAAAAGTGATTACAAAAATCATGGGCTCATGTGAGGTATAGTGGTTTTTGGACAAAAATTTAGAGCAGGAAAAAGGAACCAACACGGATGTTTATTGTCCAATCAATGGACATGAAAACTTTTCCTAGTTTCCAGGATCCACTTCTTTGTGTTATTTATTGTCAAAGATACCATTCTTGGCTAATTTCATATATCCCACTGCAAGGAAAAGGTAGCAACACTATTATTATTCACAATGATATGGCTCTTTGGTACCTTTTAAAATTGAAACAGTATAGATCTTCTGGCCTCTGCAGTTTCCTAATGCCATTTATTGAATTCTGATTACATCATCACTCATCTCACGGCAACACCCATTGTACTGTCCTTGAATAATGGTTTCCAATGACTCTCAAATGTTGTTAATGTGCTTTGTTGATGATAACCACAAATGCAGGTCTTACACAGAGGATGCAAGAAAATGAAAACATTCTGTTTTATGGTCATGTTAAATTTATCATTTAGAAGTTTATAGCGTTTATTTATAGAATTTAGAGCATTAACATAGAACAACGCATATTCCAACCATGTCTTCTCTTGAATTAAGCCTTAATCACTGCACTGCTAGAACATGACCTTTTTTAATGTTGATCACTACCCTGCCTTCCACATACCAGTTACCAGTAGTGAGGATTGATGAGGGGCCCTGGGTAGAGCAAGAAGGGCAGTCCCATTCAAGTAAGCCCTATCTATCACATGCCCCACAGGGCTTAAGACCAACCCAGCACAGCAGAATGCCAACACATTGATTAAAGGCAAGAAATGGCTTTGATAGGAAGGGGCCATTGGTTTTGCAATACTACCGTCTAGAAAGCTCTGAGAGGAGACAAGAATGGCCATGACTAGGATTATCTGACATATAGCACCTAGCTTGCAAAAGGGCTGGGTGACTGCCCTGGGCACCAACAATGGGGTGGCAGGGAGGACCCAGCATAAAAGACAGGTGGGCTACCCATACCTCTCAGTTGCTCCTCAGCAGGAGGCTCCTGGATCTGAACATGGACAGGTAAGTGCCCATGCACCAGCTCACACTGGCAAAGAGGACAGTGGGTGGCCAAGATCCTAAACTTGTCCTCTGTCTGATGTTACTGAAAATCATCCCCAAATCAGTGAATCAGCCCTGTTCTGGCAGCTAGAATTTGGTGCAGTTCCATGAAAGAAATACTGCCCTGGCCAGTGGGAGCTTTGGCTCACCAGCAACGGGCAAGGGCCACGCAACCAGAGACCACACCCACTGGTGTTAGTCCTCATCCTTGGCACCTGGTAGACCCTGTGCGGGGGTCACTGTTGAGAGGACTCTGCAAGGAAGAAACAGGGACTGCGGCCAATAAGGTCCAGGTCCAGATTTAGAGCATCCTACCCAGAAGGGCCTGCCAACTAGGCCAGACCCCACCACCAGTAACAGTAGAACATTTCAGGGATTCCATTGCCAAGATCCACACAGGAGTAGGTTCCAGCCCCAGGGCACCAGAGGTGACCTAGAACATTTTAAGAAGGTTCTCCAAAAGGTAGGCCTCCCAGGGGTACAGGGTTCTTTGAGAGTCCCACTTGCTAAGATCTAAACTCAGTACGTACTACTTCTGTCTGTCCTATGAATGAAGGATCAGGGAAAGTTGGTAGAAAGAAAGAATGATGTGTAAATGGAGAGGCAGTGACAAGAGACTGCCCAAAGAGTGCTAGCGTGCTGCTTTCAGGCTCATGAATCTGCTTTGCACTCTTGCCCTGCTATTCCATCAGACACCTTCTCTTTATGATATTAATCCCCTGCCCTTCTTCCTGTTTAAGACATCTGACTGTGGTTTTGGTTACTTGTAAGCATAAAGAGCTGTAGTACAATATCCAAAGCCAATTTCTTAACTTTGTAGGTTCAGGGACTCAACTTTATCATTTCCACCAGTGCTAATGAACCTCTTGGGAATCAACATGTTAAGAGGACCCATACAAAAATGATATGTACCTCAAAATGTCAATTTATCAATCTATAAAAACAGTTAAATCTAAAAGAATAATAGGTGTGAAGAATTCATTCCGGGTAGTTTCTGTGGTGGTTTAAATGTACTCAGGAGACAAAATGATCAGTCAGAGGTTGTTTGGTGAGTATATAATTAGAAGAAAGAGAATGGGTAGTCTCATGGAAGTTTTCTTTCAAGTTGGGATAGTCAAAATTCCTTTTCTATTCTAGAACTATTTCTCTTTGAAAATTAGTTGCAATCCTTGAACTCAAATAGCCTACTCTTCTGGTCATTACCAGATATATTCTTATATTTTATTCACTGTTATCTTAGACTTACTGTAAGCCATTTTTCTGCTGACATATGATTCTTTCAGAAAATTTTTACTAACTATAGTTGATTGATTTTTGGTACATTAATTGGATATTTTTCACTAGCTCTAGCATCCATTACTGTGAGCCTCTAATTTAATAATAACCATTATTTATTGACTTGTTTATCAAGTACCTTAAGTGAGTTATCTCACTTAAACCTTTTAGCACTTCTAAAATTCAGGTACTATCATCATCATCATCTTTATTTCCTCCATGAAGAAACAAAATACAGATTAAGTGATTTGTCTGAGGTCACATAGTTGACAGGCAGTATTGCTGGGACTGGAAACCCAGCAATCTGATTTGAGAGTCACCGTATGTTACATTTCATAGCCTTTCACAGGTACCTAACTTTCTAAACCTTGATTTCTTATCTGTAAACAAAGCTAAGAATATCCTTCCTAAAGATTGGTAGGATTCTAAATGTGATAATGGATGTAAAGCTCTTAGCACAGTACTGAATATATAGTGATTAATAAATGGTAGCTATTTTTACCTGTTAAAAGAATTCACTCAGGAACACAGACTGGATTTAGGAGATTTTTCTTCACCTTAATAGCACAAATACAAATGAGATGTTAGAGTGAATGAATTCTATTTTCAGATGCATAATCTACTTAATTTCATGCTAATCCTTCCAACCTCACTTCCAAATGATGGTATTTTATACTCCACGTCCAGATCCTGAGCACCTTTCTGGAGGTTATCGCCACCCTCTCCCACCATCCTGGAATATCTGCACATATTGCACTAACCCCCGCTACAAGTTCAGACTCCACAACATTGCCTAAGGTCACTGCTGTCCTCATGACCTAAGAAGTGAATTTTACTTTCCACAAGTTCCTAAATTAAAACTAGGGAGTTTCTTAGGTATGAGTGTTAAATTCACTGACCACCTTATTTATTTAAATTCCTTGTTCTTTTGTTTAAGAACTATTTATTTCAAGTGCAAACATTTTTATGGTTGCTTGTTAAGTCGTAATTCCACATATTTTATAATACAAGGATTTATGCACCATAATAAGAAAAAAATTCTGGTCAACTAAAAAAGAGTTACTTTAGTATACCTCAGTGATGACTCTTGCAGTGAATTTATGATTTGGAACTTTATAAAAAGTTATTTTTCATTGTTTTTAAGTAGGGGGTCTTTCTTTCTTTTGTTCTTTCTTTCTTTTTTCTTTCTTTGAATGTGACTGAACATGCAAAAACAAAATGTGCTTGATTTATCTGTACTTTAAGAAAACTCTCCTTGAATCTACAAATGTAAACCTCAGAAACTGGATCATTGCCACCTTAAACTCTCAGTTAATTCTAGAACCAAGAATAGATCTTTTCTTAATAGCCATGTAATATGCCTTAATAGGAGTTATGGCAGACTCAGTATCGCAACTATAAGAAAACTCAGTCACCATTAGGGCCAGAAGGTACTCACTAGTGATACTTACCGTGTCACAAGCGGGTCTGTGATCACTCCCTTTGTCCCTGAAGTTGGTATAATAGTTAGCAAGCATCTTCTGAGTGAGGGGATAGGTGGGATATGGTGAGATGGATAAATATAGATATTTTAAAAACTTTTTCTTTTAAGAAATGCCCAAATCAGAAGTGTGCAGCTTAATGAAATTTTATAAAAGGAAGACTACCTATGTAACCAGAACTCAAATCATGACAAAGACTATTACCAGGATCCCAAAAGGCCGGTATGTCCCCTTTCGGTTGCTATTTTCCTCCGTGTGACCTAAGATAATCATTATCCTAGATTAGTTATGCTTGCTTTTGAACTTCATGTGAATGTAATGTACTAGTTTGTGTCTGGCTTTTTTTTTTTTTAAGTTTATTTATTTATTTATTTTGAGAGAGAGAGAGAGAGAGAGCGCGAGCGCATGTAAGCTGAGAAGGAGCAGAGAAAGAGAGGGAGAGAAAGAGAATCCCAAGCAGGCCCCATGCTGTCAATGCAGAGCCCAATGTGAGGCTCGATCTCATGAACTGTGGGATCATGACCTGAGCCAAAATCAAGAGTCAGATGCTTTAACCAACTGACCCACCCAGGCATCCTGTGTCTGACTTTTTCAATTCAATATTACACTTTTGAGTGACAGCCACACTGTTTAATGTGGTTGCAATTTTTTTCATTACTATATATGGTATTCCAGTGTATGAATGACTATTTATCCAGGCTATCATAAATAATTGGGAATTTCTAGTTTGAAGCTATTATGAATGTGTAGCTATGAACAAGATTATACACATCTTTGGTGAACATATGTGCATTTCTGTTGGGAGTATACTCAGGAGTGGATTTTCAGTGTCATAAGGTATGCATAATGTTCACATTTAATAGACTCTGACAAATGTTCTCCAAAGGAGATACATCAATTGACATTGCCACTATATATACGAATTTGTTGTACTACACCCTGTCCAATACTTGGAATTCTCTGAAATTTTCATTCTAATCACTCTGATGGATATGTAGTAGTAATTTGCATTCCCTGGACTTGCACTGCCCATCAAGATGATTGCCCTACTCTTTCCTACTGATTACAACTAAAAGCTCAGGACAAAATACATAAACAACTACTTGAGGACTCTGAAAAGTAAATGTAAAAAGGCAGATTGGTGAGAATCAAAAGTTGGGGAAATGCCCTGTTTATTTTTCCTATTTTCTCTCAAAGCTTTGACCTGAGGCCTGACATCTAGTAAATCTAATGGCAGCACAGGCATTAAAAATTAAGAGAAATCTTATATGTTGAAACAGATGAATGGAGAAAAGGAGCTCCTGTGGGAGAATACCTGGCTTTTTTCCCCCTCCTTTTCTCCCTCTGGGCTTTGACCCGAGAGTTGAGGCCTAGGCTTGGACCAAGAGAATACTTACCTTTCTAAACAAGGGAGCTGGGAAAGGAGACCTCTGTGATCTGAAGAGTTCAGAGGGAATCCACATTTTTTTCTCTCACACTTTTGTCCCAGTGTGGGCTCTAGTCAACTGCTGCAGTTATGGAAGGCAGCTACAATTCCCGAGAAAAACCTCCTATTTCTGGCCAAAGGGCCAAGAAAAGGGGACCCTGCAAAACAGACAGCATGAGTGAAATATCAAAAAGGGAGGATCTAGAAGGAGAATCCCCCTAACTCTATGCATAAGCACACATAAATTCTCTTCTCACACCTGAACTAAGCATCTTTAGGAAAGATACAAGCTGTATAGCAAAAGGTATGTGACCTTAACTGCAATTTAAACTACGTAGTCTCCCCTTATCTATAGGAGATATGACCAAGACCCCCAGTGGGTGCCTGAGACCACAAATAAAACCCAATATATACTGTTTTTTCCTATACACGCATTCCTATAATTTATAGCTTAATTTAGAAATTAGGCAAAAAGACCTAATAATGAAATAGACCACAATATACTGTAACAACAATACTGTTGTTAATGTGGTCTCTCCCTCACTCTCAAAATATATTTTTGTACTGTGATGATGTGAGATGGTAAAATGCTTACAGGACGAGATGAAGTGAATGATAGGCATTTGTAACACAGTGTAAATCTATTGACCTTATGAGGATAACTCAGAAGGGGGATCTTCTGCTTCTCATAGTTGATCACAGGTAACTGAAACCAGGCAAAACTGCAGATAAGGGGGACTACTGTACTGCTCAAGTTCTAAAATAATCCCTGAGTGTTGTATGTATAGGAAAGACTCAAAGCAGAATAACAAAGTCTTTGAAAACTGAACTGCTAGGGAACAGCACCCACAGAAGGTGAGACAGAACTTGTGGATCTGAATCAAACTGGACTGTCTCCTAAAACAAAACAAAAACGATCAACTTTCCCCAAAGGCTTTTAATAGGACCCAGAGTCTATGCAACATAACAATCAATATAAAAAGAAGTGGGAAAATACAACCAGTTCTCAAGGAAAAATAAAATTACCAGATGCCAAACCCTAGATGACTAAGATGTTACAATTATCAAAGACTTTAAACCAGTTATCATAACTAGAAAGCAGTTGAAAAACGTTCTCTCTAGGTATATATTGTACTCTGGAAAAATGTTTGCATTCTGGTAACTGAATCTGTGCATAAGAATGTTTATACCGGCGTTATTTGTAATGACAAGCCTGGTAAATAAAAGGGATAAACTGTCACATAAAGAAATATGACCAGTATATAAGAGTAAAATTAGGGAATTACAGCTACATGCAGATATATGAACAAGCTAAAACGAATTTGTAAGTATACTGTTGAGTGTGGGAGGGGTGTGGAGGGAGAAGCTACAAATCACATAACAACCAACTATTCTTGTGAAGTTTGTAAGTTAAACATACATAAACTAAATGTTTAAAAAACAAAAGAATAAACATCAAACACAGGCGAATGTTACCGCTGGAGGAAAGCAAGGGATAAAAGACACAGGTAATTTTTAAAATATTGGCAATATCCTAGTTCTGAAATTACTGGTCGGTTCCCATGTGTACATTGCCTATTTGTTACACCTCCATACGTACCAAAACGAGTACGTTTCTAAATCACACCCGTATACCATGTGCGTAAAGAACAGAGTTCTCAATCACTTATTAAAATAACTTATACAAATACTTCACTAGGCCACCATACCTCACCCCTTAAATATAGCCTAAAGCTACCGGCCATTCCAAACTCAAGCCTGATTACAGCCACTTCCGCCTCGCTCCCTAGCTCCGCCCACCTGAGCGGAAGTATTTTCCTCTCGGGTCCTCCTGCCTGTAGGGGGCTCTCCGAGGCTTCCAGTGCCACGAAGGCCTCCTGCTTGGGCTGTCCCTGCGGCGCCTGTTAGTTTAGCTCCAGAGAATACATTTGCACCGTAATTCTTTCGGCCAGGAAACAATCGCACAGGCATTTTACTCAATACAGTAACGTTCAAACTCAATCCCGGCCGAGTGTCCTCGTTATTAAACCTGGTGCAGTGGTGCGTCAGAGTCAGGCGTCGTGGGGACAGCCCCGGAGTGCCGAAAGTCCCCGGCCCGCTTCCTCCTGCGAAGACGTAGCTGCGAGTGGCTGTGGTGGCGGCGTCCAAGATGTCGACCAAGAATTTCCGAGTCAGTGACGGCGACTGGATTTGCCCTGACAAAAAGTAAGTTCATGAAGCGTCCCGAGTTAGGGTAGGGTTTATCGGTGGAGGCTTTCTCAGGTGGCTTCGGCGTTTTCGGTTTTTTTGGCTTCAGAACGTCAGGCCGGGTTGAGACGCCCACCGGCTCCCAGGCGGGAAGGAGGCTTCAGCCTCTTCTCGCTGAAGTATTTCGGGAGCCTTTGTTTTGAGAATGTTTCCACGTTTCCTCAACGTTAACTCACCAAGACAGCCCCTCTTTTTCGGGAGCGAGATGGCCTACCTTTTGCCTCCACACCACCACCCCAGCCCTCCCCCCCCCGCCTCGGCCAGGTTTCAGCGATAAGGCAATCTCCGGAGTCGAGGACAGCTTGCTGGTGGATCTGCCCCACGTGACTGTTTCCTGCAGAACTTTACTCTTGTTCGCGGGAAGCTGCTTCCTCGAACTCGTTTTTGGCTTTTCATAATTCACCTTGGGGGTTGGGGTTTTTTTTTTTGTTTGTTTGTTTTTTTTGGTTTTTTGATTCTCGCTTTCTCCCGTACTACTTATACTTTCCCCCTAAAGACCACCCTTCTTGGATTCAGGAGATTCTGAACTTTCTTCTCTTTATTGAGCTTTAATTTCCTCTCGAGAATTGAATCCTCCGCCTCCTTAGAGCCCAAAGGAAGGAGGCCTGTGTTTTTGCCTGCCTGGAGATGCCTGCCGCAGAGAAGCACGTGTTTAGTGGCTCAGCCTTTTGACGTTGCTGCTGAACTCTGTGTGCTCTATTACATTGCTAGATTCTTTCGGAGGGTGCTCAAATAGATGTACCTGTTTGGAAATCTGTGGAAAGTAGTTGCCCAAATAATTGAATGCACAACTCATGTTCAAATCAAAGTCTCAGAATTCTTGTCCTCAGGCTAGCCAAAGATAAAAATTCAAAGAGAAACTTTGAAGCCAACAAATGTGGATTTTTAATTCCAGTTATGTTGCTTACAGACAATGTAACTTTAAGAAGGCTATTTAACTGTACTAAAAAAAATGGTATAGAATTAGGTCCCTTTCAGTGAATACAGGATGGCATAATGTGTCGAGCAATGAAATATAGCAAATACTCGTAATTGATAGCTATCGGTTTTAGTTTAAAAGAATTAGATCATCTAATGTCCATAAAGGAGATTAAGTCCATATTGCCTCAGTATTTGACTTCCATACACCTTGTAAGTAGTTTAAATGTAAGTAGTTAAATGAAATACTGTTGTGTTTATTTCATAATAAGTTGATCGTCTAATTGCATAAAGATTAGGATGATCTGAAAGATAAGGTGTATCTGACAGTATTGAATAGAACAAATTCGTATGCTATGAATAGCATTGCTGTGGGTGATAAATACTCTTGAAGCCATTCCAAAGGTATAGCACAACTTCTGATATTTATGTTACTGATTACCTGTAGAATGATTTGTCTTTGATGGTGTCATTAATGACAGCATGCACAAATATTTGAAATAGATCTCTAAGTGCATTCAACTCAGTTACAAATATGAATAGAATATTTATTTCTACAATATGTGTATTCAGTATATATGTTTTCAAAGAAAAGTAATCAGTTTTTAAAAATTTAAGCTTTGCATATCACTTGGCATTTAACACGCTTGTACTGATAATGCTGATGCAGTATTAAGAACTGGTAAATGAACTTGATAATCTTTTTGTTTAATTAAATTTGCTGAATATAAACATAAAAGTGATACCTTGTTCCTCCATATGTTGAGTTTATTGGTTGTGGTGGTTATTTTTTTTAAGTAGGTTTCAGAGATTTGGTAAATGCCCCCACAAAACTCCCATTTCCTTATAGTTATTGAACCTATGTATATTTTTAAGTCAGTATAACCTACCTTCTTTCCTTACCATTCTATCTTCTAGCATTTTATCAAGACCTGTGAAGCTATCTTTGATTTATCTGTATTCTCCCCATTGGTCGATCCTTAGGATTATGTATTTCTTCTAATACTCAACACATTTTTGTATGTTTTTTGTTTGTTTTGTTTTTGTTTCTAACTCTCTGGTGCCTCCTCAGTAATTGTTGAAGTGGATATCACTTCAGCTTTGCCAAGGGGATTTTGTTATTATCAATGATAGGTGCTAATAGAACACTGAAGCACAGAAACCTTAAGTGACTTCCTAGGATCACATAACTGGATAGTGAAAGATTGGAGTTTCTTATCTTGGACTTCTGACTTTAAATTTTATATTTATCTCCTATTTTTTCCACCTAAATTGTGATGATTTTTATTTCATAGTTAACATTAACATGACTGAGAGAGTGTTAGAATTTCTGGATGTAGGTGTATAGTAAAGACACATTAAAAAGTTGTGCATATAGAATTTTTAAAATTCTACAGTTATAAGTAATATCTTTCTAAATATTTTTTGTTTTATTTTCAGATGTGGAAATGTAAACTTTGCTAGAAGAACCAGCTGTAATAGATGTGGTCGGGGTAAGTATTTAAGGAAGCTTCTTCTAAGGCTAGTGATCTATAGATCATTTTTTAAATTTCCCCAGATTAATAATGTATTATTTTGCTATTTTCAGAGAAAACAACTGAGGCTAAGATGATGAAAGCTGGGGGTACTGAAATAGGAAAGACACTTGCAGAAAAGAGCCGAGGCCTTTTTAGTGCTAATGACTGGCAGTGCAAAACGTATGTGTTTTGAATTATGTATTTTTTCTTCCATAATAATATTTCTAGCCACTACTCGTTAATATTTCCAGTTCTAATTCACATTGACAAACCAAGGAGACCTTCTAAGTCAAAGATCTGTGTACTATTTAGTCTGTATCTAATACAAAAGTATAAATAACTTTTAAAAACTCTGTATTTTTTTAAATATATTTTTTTATATTTTTATTTATTTCTAGGAGAGAGGGACAGCGTGAAGAGGGGAGGACCAGAGAGAGAGGGAGACACAGACTCGGAAATAGGCTCCAGGCTCTGAGCTGGCAGTCAGCACAGAGCGAAAAAAAACTCTGTATTTTTAATGGTGATATTAGTTTTCACCATGATGGATTATGTATACCAGTAAATGAATGCTTAAGTTAACCTTGCGTTTCATGAAAAGGAGGAGACTATTTAAAACCACTTCTTTCTATTACTTCTTTCTATTATTAAAAAAATTATTATTATTTAAAAAATCTCAAAATGTTCAGCTTCTGTCAGTAATGTGAAATACACTCAAAATTCATTTTGACTGTTTACAGAGTAATTTTAGAATCATAAGTTGTGTCATAAATATCTGTAATTAGGCATTCTTAATATTTTTGACTTCAAGTTCTGTATAGATTTTTTCAACTTTCATCTTTCCTGTTGTGCAGATGAATCAAATATATATGAAAAGGGACTTAATCAGAAGAGGGTCTTACATAAATTTCTTATCCAATACAGATTAAAATTGTACTGGAGAGTTTTTTGTCAATAGATTAGGTCACTGGATTTGGTATGCTGTGAAATTTAGTACTTGAACTGATTCTTTAAGAAAAAACTTTTAAACATTATTTGGAAGGTATAACTTTACTGTTCTTCGAGGTAAATTTGGAGACCAAGAAATTAGTAAAGCCTTTAAAATGATTTTTCCCTCCAGGGCATCAAAATCATTGCAGATATAATTTGTCTCCTATTTTTCAAAAAAAATGACAGACATTTCATACTCCTTAGCTGTTGCTTCTGCTTAAATAGTTCAGTCTTTTGTTGGAATCCATATTTTCTCTTCTGAAAATGTGCCCTGGTACATTTTCTGTATTTGCATTATCCTTAATAAATACTTGTTTATGGTAGTGATTTCATCCTAGTTTTTATTTTAACGTTCTAGAGTGTCTAGAAATTTACTTTTTCTTGTGTTATAGTCTACTAATTTGCTGTTTTTCCCTTCTAAAGGTGCAGTAACGTGAATTGGGCCAGAAGATCAGAGTGTAACATGTGTAATACTCCAAAGTATGCTAAGTTAGAAGAAAGAACAGGTAAAATTCAATCACATTCTAATTAAATGAGTTTAATATTTTTAATGTTTATTTATTTATTTTGAGAGAGAAAAAGAGAAAGAATCCCAAGCAAGCTCCATGCTGCCAGCGCAGAGCCCAGTCCAATGCTCAGTCTCATTAACCAGGAGATCATGATCTGTGCCGAATCAATAGTCAGACGTGTAACACACTGAGCTACCCATGTGCCCCAAGTGATCTTAAAAGAACTAAAAGTTTGAATTAACAATTCTGTCTCTTTCTTATAAGAGTATAGTAATTGGAGATTCTGTCTGTTCTGCCCTTGAGTTTTTTACCTTGATGCTTTTTTCTTATACACAAAGTCATCTTCTGTTTAACAGTATTACAGTTTACAAAATAAAGAATTAAAGATCTCTATATTAACAAATAGTGACATTAGGAATGGCAGAGGGGAGACTCACTAGTTCTTTAAGAATCATCTGGACCTGGCCCTTCTAGACTACAACAGAAATTGTTTTATTTCCCTCATTCTTTTTTTTTTAATTTTAATTTTTTGTGATATTTTCATATGTGAGAACATTAAAACCTAATGTTCTAGATACATTTCCTTTTTCAATCCTCAAATCCTACCCTACACTTCTCATTCTGAGTCTTTGTACTGATTGTGTAGATTGAGGCTTTCTAATAACAGTTCTCCTTTTTTTCCTTCGTTCATCTCTAAGGTATATATTTTATGTTTTTTTGTCTTTTTTCTCTCTGATAGTTTATTTTGTCTCCTTTTTAGAGCCATCTCCTTTCTACCTCACCACAGAATGTTAGGTTTCTTCAAGGCCCAATTCCTAAGTTTGCTTTCTTTCCTCTTTATTTTCTGGGCGGGCATTTTTTTTCTAACTTCAGCACACCATGATACCAAATGTGTGCCTTCAGCTGAGACTTCTTTGACCCATATATCCAGCTGTCTATTCAACATAACCAAGTAAACGTCAAACTTCTATCCAAACTGAACTCATGATTTACCCCCAGGACCTGGCTCTCTTCTGGTGATCTCTTTCTCATGATTAGTACCACCCACCATGTGCATAAGACAGACACCTAAATGTCCTTCTTCATAACTCCTTATCTCATCTCTCCTATACTCTCAAAATTCTTTTCCATGACTACACTAGATTAGGATACCACTGTATCCTGTCTTGGAAAAATAGCTACTTAGTTGCTATCTGTACATATTCCCCTTCTACCCAGTTGCAGCCAGAGATACTTAATTTCATTTTCCAACCTAAAAGCTCCATTTGTTTAAAACAGTTTTCGGGTGCCTGGGAGGCTTAGTCAGTTGAGCATCTGACTCTTTATTTCGGCTTAGGTAATGATCCCGGGGTCCTGGGATCTAGCCCCATCTCAGGCTCTGTGCTGAGTGTGAGCCCTTCTTAAGATTCTCTCTCTCTCTCCCTCTGATCCTCTCTCCTGCTTGCTTCCTCACTCTCTAAAATAAAAATAAAGAAAACTTCTGTTTTTAGGATAAAGTCCAAAATCTTTAGCAGTTTTTAAATTGTATTTTCAAAAAGCCTTTTATCTCTTCATATTCTCTGACCTTATTTTGTGACGACTCTGTTGCACTGTTGCAAGAGCAGTAGTGTAACAACTAAAGTCTTCAAAGTTTGATGCCTTCTCACTTATTCTTTACTCATTCTTTTTTTTCTGTGATTCTGTTGTCTTGAGCCTCTCCCATTTCCCTGGCTATATAACTAGTTGTCTTTGCTGTTCGCAGTTGAAGTTGTGAAATAGCCTCCTGCATTGCTCTCCAGGGTCTCTCTACTATTTTTAATAAGGAAGTCCAAGGTTCTGGGGATAGGTTCATGGGATAGTCTGAATAAAAGAAAATTTGATGCACTACTGAAAGATTGCTGACTTTGCATTATTCCATTAAATAATTGTAGAACTAATTTAGCCATTCTGTGTGCACAAGTAGGGGAGGAGCAGAGAGAGAGGGGAAAGAGAGAACCCTAAGAGAGAGTCACAGCATGGAGCTCGATGAGGGGCTCAAACCTGTGAACCGAACTGTGAGATCTGACCTGACCCAAAATCAGAAACATTCAACCAACTGAGCCACCCACAGTCCCCTGTTCTCCTGTTTTTTGAATAGTTATATTTTAGCAGTGTTCTTCTTGCTACTAGTTTTTTTTTTTTTCCTGTAGCCCATATGAGATGAGAATAGCTTTATATTTGCTATGATACTCATTTTAAAAATTTCCTTAATGTTTTATTTATTTTTGAGAGAGACAGAGCTTGAGCAGGGGAGGGTCAGAGAGAGAAGATGATACAGAATCCAAAGACAGTCTCCAGACTCTGAGCCACCTGTCAGCACAGAGCCTGACGTGGGGTTAGAATCCACGAACCGAGAGATCATGACCTGAGCTGAAGTCGGACACTTAACTGACTGAGCCACACAGGCACCCCCCCACCTTTTTTTTTTATTTTAATTTTACCTTTTTTAGCTATGATATTTATTTTAAAGTGATTGTACTTACATACCTATGCAAAATTATGTGTAACAATTAACATCTAAGTCTTGCCATGATTTATTTGCCATATCATTTTTCAAGTGTAGATTACTAAATGTGAACAAAGAACTCTTAAAAGTCTATTGAATTTTAAATAGGATTGTTTTAATCTTTACGTGTTTCCACATACAGTCTATTTTGTCAGACATTTTTCTGTACTACTGGCCTAAGGACAATCATGGTATTTCATTGTATTTGTTCACTTTGCTTTTTATTTTTTCCTATGTGAATTGTCCATCTAGACCCTGTGGATTTTTTATTTTATTTTTTTTAGCTTTTCTCCTACTTTTAAGTATTTTGATGCTTAGATCTTTATTGTTAGTTGTCTCTTAAAATGTGTTGTTTACCAGAGTATTCATACCTTAATCTCAGGACATATTGATGTAATAGTAAACGTATCTAGACGTAAAAATTATGATTTTCAACTGAGCTTGTAATCTATAATTAGCATTAAATGTGTAAGCTGTTTTCTTGAGGTTCAGTGTATACCCATTTGTACGTGGTTTTGGTTTTTTATATTTGATTTCTGAAAAACTAGAGCTAAGATTTTACTAAAGAAAGTTGTTACTGGTATTTACTACACTTCTCATTTGTATGTCGTCTGTACAGAAACAAAAGGAAGTTCTTGTATATTACAATTAAAATCCATATGGGCCCTTAAACAAGGTAGAAAGAGGAGACAAGGGATCATATGCAATTATTTGAGGGATAAATAACCAACATATTGCAGTTTTCAATGGTATAAAGTATAGTAAAAACAAGATTAATGAGATTTTTTTTTCTTTTTTTAAAGTTATACTTACTACATTATTTTATGGGGACAGGTAATATACTTTCTACTATTCATGACAGTTGTACAAAGATGACAGGGTAAGTGATCATTTTTTAAATGCCCGTGATTGGTAAATTTAAAGTCACATATCCTGAATTCTTTTGAAAAAACTTTTTTATGAATTTATATTAGCATTTAGCAAAATCTCAATCACTGCCTTTATGTGCTGGTACTGCTGTGCAATATGGGAGATAGATTATGTTGGCTTTTGCCTACATACCTCTATTATTTTTTCAGTGGGAGATTTCAAAATTTCACTTTCTCTAAAACTAACTCCACCTTCTCTTTTTTTTTTTTCTTTTTTTTAATTTTTTTTTTTTTTACAAATAGTTTATTGTCAAATTAGTTTCTACATAACACTCAGTGCTCATCCCCAAAGTGCCCTCCTCCATGCCCATCCCNTTTTACAAATAGTTTATTGTCAAATTAGTTTCTACATAACACTCAGTGCTCATCCCCAAAGTGCCCTCCTCCATGCCCATCCCCCCCTCCCCCAACTCCACCTTCTCTTAAGCTTATGTGGAAAAATTCAATCCTAATTATAGATATTGGTTGTGATATCGAAGAATAGTGGTTTCCTGAACTTGATTATTTTTTAATAGAATTATTTTCAGTTTAAAAATTTACTGGTTAATTCAGAGATCCCGAGTGACTCTTAACAATATATTAAAAACAATTGTATTTTTAAAAAGTGGGGTGTGCCTGGGTGGCTCAGTTGGCTAAGCATATGACTTCATTAAGCATCCAACTTCAGCTCAGGTCATGATCTCATTGTTCGTGAGTTCGAGCCCCGCATCAGGCTCTGTGCTGACAGCTCAGAGCCTGGAGCCTGCTTCGGATTCTGGGTCTCCTCCTCTCTCTGCCCTTCCCCCACTCTTGGCTCTGTCTCTCTCAAAAATAAACAAACATTAAAAATTAAAAAAATAACCAATTGTATTAAAACCAATTTGGATGTCTTTTATTATGTCATTGTATTTGTATAGTTAGGAATATTCCAAGCCCTAGCTACGTTTTAGCCCAGCAAAAGTTCAATACATCAAAAGATTTCAGACTATGTGCAACTAGTAACCTGTGAAATTTTGAGTCTTAGTTCTTAGCACACTCTTCCTGGAAGAATTATAATGAACTACAGAAGAAAGTCATTTCAGAATTTGGTTATAGCAATGATATGAATAGGTGTTTTCCACCTGTGTATTCCATGCATAAGCTAAGTAAAACAGGACATTTTGAAGTTGAGAAGAGCTAGAAGTATAGCAACAGGGCTTTCTCAGCTAAGGTATCTAACTTTGACACTGTTCTCTGTAGTGATTTTTTTTTTATATGCTTTTTCTAAGCTAGTAATTTATTAGATAGCTAGGTAAATGCCATTGACGACATTTTTCTTTTTCTCTGTTGCTTGGAGGTGATGTTGTTAGGCATATTTTTGTTATTTTAATGAATTGTCAAAGGATAACAGTTTATGCTCCTCCCCTTTTAGGTTATGGTGGTGGTTTTAATGAAAGAGAAAATGTTGAGTATATAGAAAGAGAAGAATCTGATGGTGAATATGATGAGGTAAGCTATACATTAGTGTGCAGATTGAACACAAATTAGAAAACTTCAAAAATATTTTAAATGCAAAGGAATAATATTAAATGTATCTTATTTTTATAAGTACACTTTGAATTTTTTAAAGCAGATTTTTTTTTAAGAAGTCTTAATTGGCTTAAATGTAAAATTGTTACAATTAACTAAAAAAATACACGTTGACCGATGTATATAAAAGTAATTTCTTAGGAAAAAATAGTGATTTTAAAACCTTTTCAGCTGACAGAAACATGAAACTTTTTCTCTAGTTTGGACGTAAAAAGAAAAAATACAGGGGGAAGGCAGTTGGTCCTGCATCAATTTTAAAGGAAGTTGAAGATAAAGAATCTGAGGGAGAAGAAGAGGATGAGGATGAAGATCTTTCTAAATATAAATTAGATGAGGTAAATGATTTCCTTGTCTTATTTCTTCTTAGTCTTATTGGAGCTATGATACAACGTGAATCCTTTTGATCTTCGTTTATAGTGAAGATTATATTCTGTGTATTCATTTGTTCTCACAAAGGTTTTGAGCTTCCACTCTGCCAAGCACTATTCTAGGTCTGGAGATGGAGTAATAACTAAGCTAGAACCACCTTTCTTTTAATGAAGCCTAAATTCTAGAAGGGAAAAACATAAATGATGAAGATAAAAAATGAACAAGATGATTTAGGTAGCAGTTATGTTATAAGACACACATGATAATAGATCATGAGAAGAGCTATTTTCGTTTCAGTCGATGGGATTTTTGAGGAGGTGGAATTTGAGCTAAGACTTGAATGATAGAATGATATTAGCTGCTGGCTACAAGAGCTGTGGTCAGAACACTTTCAGCAGAGAACATAAATAGAGGTCACTTTAATAGGAAACAAACCACCAACATTAAAAAAATACAGAAGCCAGTGTGGTTAGAGGAGGGGGGAGAATGTTGAGAGGGTCAACCACCACCATTAAGTGGTATTTATTTTCTGAGTCCAAAGTGTAAAGTGTTATGGCCTGATGTATAGATCCAGATTAAGGGTACACTTCAGTGTCTGATCATAAGAGGCCCTCAAATGCAGCAAAACAAATCAGCGTGGAACAATTTTTAAATCTTACAAGAAACAAATGAGGTACGTTTATCTGACCTGGTTCAGGGTGGTGACTGTCAATATATTGAGAGAGAGGGGAGGCAGAATGGATTTCTAGAGTTAGGGAGACCACCTAAAAGGTTATACTGTAATATATAAGAGAAGAACAGAGCCTGATGGATTCAAGGACTTTTAAGGGATTAAAATTCAAATTCTTGATAGCTTAGTTGTTAATACATTGTGATAGAAAAAGAGGAAATAAGTATGACTTCTAGGGGTACTTCTTTGAAATGTCTGAAATAGTCAATCTGTTTAGCTGAGATAAGGAATATAGGAGGCAGACTTTTAGGATTGAGGATTTGCTGAGAAGTTGGTGACATCACATATCCATATGGATATGTCCAATACACAGAACTGTTCATCACTCCTAGTAGATAGCATTAATATCCAAATGTCTAAATAATTGATTGAATTTTTGTTAGGATGAGGATGAAGATGATGCTGATCTCTCAAAATATAATCTTGATGCCAGCGAAGAAGAAGATAGTAATAAAAAGAAATCTAACAGACGAAGTCGCTCAAAGTCTCGATCTTCACATTCACGATCTTCATCACGCTCATCCTCCCCCTCAAGTTCAAGGTCTAGGTCCAGGTAAACGGGTACAGGTCAAGGGTAACACCAGTCAAAATGTCAGTATCTAACTTCTTTATTTATAAATTTTGTTTTTCTTGACTGAATAAGCTTTCCTTTTTATTTGAGATTTCATTCAAGTCAGCTTTTACAAAATAATTTTTTTTTAGTGCCATGAAATTATTGTCCAATATTTTCAGAAATGCAGAGTTTTAATATGAAATTTACTGGGTCCATTTTTATCACCATGCCTTTTATTAAAATAGATTTTAAAAATTCATTTGAATTATTATATATAGTGCTACATGATTAGGTAGTTTACATTTAGAAATTTCTAAGTAAATAAAGTGAAGATTTATATTTTTACTAATGATATTAAGGTTAGTATAGACGTTTTCTACACTAATTCATTCCTTGCTATACAGTGTTTTAATGATTTACTACAGATATTCTGAGTAAAGGAGCAGATTCTGCCATATTAGTTATATTGGCTTAATGCTCATGATCTTGAGATGTCCAGGAAAAAGAGGATTTAGTTGGTGTTGTACTTGAATATTATTTTGTTAGTAATGTAAAATTTTAATAATATTACTTGGCTGTATATGATTGTATAGTCAACAGTGAAAATAAAATTTTAAGTGAGCAAAAGCAGTACCTTATATAAACAATGTTCCCAAGAAGAATTTCTATTCATGATCTGGTGAAACCATGGGCAGTGAATATTAATGATTTTTAGGGCTAAAAATATTAGCTAATTGAGCACTTAACAGATAATTTAGGGGGCACCTGGGTGGCCTAGTTGGTTGAGCGTCTGACTCTTGATTTTGGCTCAGGTCATGATCCCACAGTCATGGAATCGAGCCCTACCTAGGGTTCTACACTTAGTTTAGAGCTTGCTTAAGATTTATTTTTTCTCTCTCTCTCTCTCCCATCTCCCTGCCCCTTCATCCTGCACCCTCCCCCACTTGCATGTGCATGCATATCCACTGTCTAGAAAAGAAAAATTAGATAATTTTTTATTTGAACACTATAAAGCCTGAAAGCTTACAAGAGTACTTATAAAGATGGTACTTTTAAACTGCAAATGTTTTGTTTTTTGTTTTTTTTTTTTTATTTCTAGGAGAGAGAGAGAGAGACAGCATGAGCAGGGGAGGGTCAGAGAGAGAGGGAGTGACAGACTCTGAAACAGGCTCCAGGCTCTGAGCTGGCAGTCAGCACAGAGCCCGATGCGGGGCTCGAACCCACGAACCGCGAGATCATGACCTAAGCGAAAGTCGGACGCTTAGCCGACTAAGCCACCCAGGCGCCCCATACTGCAAATGTTAATAGTCCTCTTTTTCTACGAAGTATTATTTTAAGGGGTATATTAAAGGTATAAGGTTAGTAAGTGAATTTACTTCATTTGTGACTTTTAAAATTTAAGTGGGCTATATCTCCCCTTTAAGTTTTCAATAATATAATTACCTAAAACAATGACAGGATTGTTAACATATTTTCTCTTTAATTCTCTAACCTTTGAGTAGATAGAAAAACAGTTAAATAAACATACACATGTCATCGTAATTACAGTGTCATACTAGCTAGAGACTCAGGAAACAAGGAATTTTATAAGGGAAATTGATAGAGATGTATCAGAGAAATTAAATTATAAACAGCAGCATTCAAAATTCCTGGGTTTGTAAGTCCTTAGGTTGCTTTAAAAATTCTGAACAGGAAGTATTCAGTGTTATAAAGTGAGGTAATGCTTAATGTTTTATTTGTACAATTTTGAGTGATTTTTAGAGCAATTTAGCCAGACTTGGGAAATGATCGTTGATTTTCTTTTTCAATATTAGTTTAAGTTTTGGCATAAGTATTTAAGCAATAAAATGTTTAGTTACCTTAAAATACTGTGTTCTGAAAATATATCTCAAATAGTTGTTTGTCTTTTTATATGAAAATGAACTCTAATATATATTTTTCTTTCAGTGTTCATGTCTCAAAAGTTCATTTAAGTGGTCCTGGAAAAAAAAATCCTTCCATGTTGTTCCAGGTCCCGTTCAAGAAGTTCTTCCAGTTCGCAGTCAAGATCTCGTTCCAGTTCCAGAGAACGTTCGAGATCTCGTGGGTCGAAATCAAGGTGAATGAGGTAGCATCTCTCTGTAAAGCAGAGAGAAAAAAATATTTAAAGGCTGCAGAAGGCGTTGCTGCTTTTTTTCCTCTTATTTTGCTTCTACTTGTCAATTTTATTTTAGCATTAGAAAACTAATGCACTTGCCTCAGCTTAATTTTCTCACCATGAGATGTTTCCATTGCCAGCAGTGTGCCAAGACATTCCCATGATTGAATTAAGGCTGCTATTTGGCATTATGCAAGGTTTGTTATTTTTGTACTAGCTAAAATGTGATGAAATAGGAAGATAGAGCAGAGTCTTAACACCAGATCTCTAGTACAGTAAAGTTATGTTTGCAATAATAGTTCAAAAATAAATTACAGATATGCAAAGAAGTTTACTATGTTTTTAAAAGGAAGAAAATTAACCTTCCTCAAAACAGATTCTGTTTTGTAGGACGGTTGTTTCAATATTTGCAGAAACTATTTTGTCATGTATATCCACTAAAGTTTCTGGAACGTTTTATACACGTTTCTGTGTTTTGTAATATAACACACAATATTATAAAAATTATAAAATTTTACACAAATACTATGTTTAGAATAAGCACTCCTCTTAAATTCTACAGATTAAATCAGGAAGGATGGTTGGTTAGTCAGGTAGGATGTGGTCTTAGGTAAGCACTACTGTTAACTTCAGGTTGCATTTAGTTCAACCTGTAGAGGGAAGCAGTTTGTGAAGAAGCAAATGAGACACTAGTCTACTTTTTTTTTTCAAACTTAGTAAAACTATGCTGCCTTTTTTTTCTTATGTTTTGACTTACTGTTTAAAGCATCTAACAATAAGAAAATGACTAAAATTCCACTTATGTGGAATTCACCCTGAAGCTTAATGATAGTTCTTTTGATAAAAATGCTTAATAGAGCCAAATCTGTAGCATTAGAGGGCAACTGCACTTTAACATTAAAGGAAGAATGAAAGATAAGCAAACTTGTATTAAGACAATACAAAATGGAAAGCAAATGAATTTATTGTTATTGTGTATTATCATTGTGTTAGTACTTTTATTTGAGTGCTTCATAGGTGAAGATCTTTAAGTCTTAGCTCCATTTGGGAAGTACTAGAATTAAGATTTACAAAACAGCCTTCATATTCTTCCCAAACATTTTTTTCATTGCTTATAACTTTCCAAAGAATTCTCCTTTTGGGCTTTCTAATTTTGTTTTAAGCCCAAAGGTGAATTTTTTGGGAAGTTTGAGCTAAATTCCTTCAAACAAAATATGTAAGTGAAGAAAAAAATATGCACTTAAACATTTGGACATTTACTTCTACCTGAAACATGTGAATGTCAACACTTCATACTTCATGAATAATAGTCCCTCATAAAAGTATTGTTAATATAAATCAAAGTTTTAAAGTTATTCATTTTATTTTACTTTTTTTGATTATTTGACAATTTAGTAGTTATTGTTCTTTCTCATTGCTGTCCCCTCTCTCTGCCTTTTCTAGAGCAACTAAGTAAGTTGCATAATTCCACAAGGAATTGTAATGTTTATTTTCCTCGGGAGTTTGTATATAACCTACATATTTTTTTCTCAAATGGGAGGATGTGTTTTCTAGACATAAAGTCATGCAAATGCAATTACCTTTTGGTTTTGCTATTTATGTATACTTTAAAATGATAGTCTTAAGTTTAAAAAAATTCTGCTTTATATATTCAGCTGGTGTTTAATTGTAAGCTATAAACACTTAGAATGTTAAAAAGATAAAATTAAAGTAATTGTACTTAAGTAGAATTGTTTTCGTGGTTGAACCAGAAGTCTTCTTTTGAGTATGCAGTAAGTATTCCTTCTTATAAAATTTTCAGTTATAAATCCTTTTTGTTTATTTTTGGAGCTGTTAGCTGAACAGTCTGCCTCATTTCTTCTTTTAATGACATGTTTGATTTGTTTCTCAATCAATGAAGATCCAGCTCCAGGTCCCACAGGGGCTCTTCTTCCCCACGAAAAAGATCTTATTCAAGTTCATCATCTTCTCCTGAGAGGAACAGAAAGAGAAGTCGTTCTAGATCTTCTTCATCTGGTGATCGCAAAAAAAGACGAACAAGATCACGGTCACCCGAAAGGTTTGGGTTTCTGTAGAAATAAGAATGGGTGTTCTTAAGTGTGTTTAATAGATTAAACTTCCTAGTCAAGGATTAGATTTTCATTTTCTCCTTTGGTCCAATTTTAAATTACACTTTTCAACTTTGAACTCCAAAAAATTGATTACTTTGCTTTTCCTGTGTGCTTTGATAGGTTGCTTAGAAAAGTTGTAGATCAAACCACTCTTTCACTATCTAATCATTTTATTGTTTAAATTTTTATTTTTGCATAGGATTATTATAGCCAACTCTCGGTTATTTCTGTCTTTTAAGATTATAATTCAGAGGCTGAATGTTGAAGTAATTTAGAAGTTGATTTTTTAAATGTATTTAAGATTTTGATTTTACATTAAATATAAATAGAAATCTGGGGCCTCTAGTAAAAAAAATTTAACTATTTCAAATCATTGGAAATCTATTCTCAAATATGTGTAAATGCATTTCCACAGCAGATTATTGTTTTATGCCCTCTATAAAGATACAAGGAAGTTGTTCTTGTAGCTAATAAATTTTGCATCTTGGAGTCCAAATCTTTTTTATCCTTTTTTAAGAGAAAGACCTTTACTAGATCACTCTATCCATGTTGAAATTTTTATAATTTGTAGACTGCAGATGTCATCTGTCTGCCTTTTCTGCAACAGGCTAATTAATTACTGAGTTTTTAACTTTGTCTATATTCTCAATGTCTAATTATATAGGCATTTTAATGATTTTTTTCTAATCTTTGCCAATTTTCCATATCCTTTCAACTTACGAAAATAAGGATTAGGTAGAGTCTGACTATTGCTGGGTTCAGTGGTAGGATTACCTCATGATTCTTTCTTGTACAGAATTATTCTTCACATTTTGAAGTTCAGATATTAAGGTTACACACAACTAGTGTTGTTTATGTGCATTTGTTCCTTTGTAACAAAATTACTCTGTACTTGAGTGAAACTCATTCTGTTGCTTTCTTACCACTCTGCAAATTTTTATCTTAGCCACATATAATCCCCCTAGTTGGTTGTCATCTAAACTTAATGAACATGTTCTCTATTCCATAAGCCAGGTGATTGGTGAAAACACTAAACAACCCTGAGCCCAGGGCCAACCCCTCGGAACACCACTACTTTACCCAGGTTGATATATTGACTTATTCATATTAGCTGCATGAATATAACCCTATAACTAATTGTACAATCATCTTGTGTGACCTAGATTTCCAAAACGTAATTATTTATGAATATATATTTTTATACACAGAAGCCTTGCTGTATCTGTTTTACATATAGACTTACCACACTATAGTGTATCATAGGGATTGATTTAGTCACATTTCCATTACCAAGTTTATATGCCTTTGTTATATAGTATCTGTAATTTTACACATTTTTGCAAGGCTTTCTTTCATTACCTTAAATAATTGAGAGGTGGCTATATCTTGAAAAGAGAAGATACTTGTAAAATATAAAGAATTTTTAATTCTTATGCTATTACTGGGCTCACATCCAACATCTGAACACTAGTTAATTTTATGTGTATAAGTCTGTATCTTCTGTTTTAATATTTTTTCTGCCAGCATAATGAGGTTTTATTTTTTATATTCTCATAGTCTTATGAATGAATGCTGATAACCAGCTATAGCTTACTAGACTATCTGCCTTCTCCATTATGTCTTACAGGCACCACAGGTCATCTTCTGGATCATCCCATTCTGGTTCCCGTTCAAGTTCAAAAAAGAAATAATGTATTAAAATTTACATCTTTAAAAAAAAAAACAGTACAGTGCATGAAGCATATTTTTTAAGGAGTTGGTGTCTTACTTGGTCAGAAGTGCTAAAACTGCTAGTAGAGGTGCATGCCTTTCATTGCTTTTCACAACAATACGGCTGTGTTTATTTGTGAAATTAAAGGTAAACAGTATTTTAAGCCATAATGTCCTAAACTAGATAATCTATTTATCATTCATTATTTACATCTATTTACTTCAATTAAAACTATTTCAGCTGTGACAAAGTATTTTGTTTCCTAATTTGAACTCTTGTTTTTTCATTTACAAATATGAGCTGTCTATTGATTGAAGACAGGATAACCTAAGCTTGCCTGAACTTTGGAGGCAAGACTGGTAAAGTAATTGGAAACAATCTGTTTATGTTAATTGGAAAAAAGAGTCAACCTATTCATGTTAATCTATGTCAAAAGGATTCCTATCACAAAAAGTAAAACTAGTTGAAAACAGCCAAATGGAACTTTTTCATTTTGAAATTCCCTGTACTGAGGGTGCCTTAGAATTTTTGTCTCTCTTTTATCCAGTTTTACTTTGTACCACCACATTTAATGAAGAAAAAATCTTGTGAATTGCAGAAGGAAAAGGGTGTTACTCATTTCTCCTTTCCTGACAATAATTTTGAGCAAAAATGTCAGACAAGTTCCTCTTCTTATTGATATTACTGGTGAAAAAAACATGTTTCAAGATGTTATTAATGTTTTAAGAAACTTCATGTGATTTCTTTTAAAAACCCAGTTATTACATATGGTAGTACAGACAAAGTTAAGTTGTGGTTAATGAGGAACAAATTGAAGTACATTTCTCTGGGTGAAAGACCAGCAGAGAGATTGTGAATTGTGAATTTACATGAACATTTATTTACCTGGAGATGTTCAAATACTGCATAAAATTTTCTTCTGAGTAACAAACAAATGCTTATTTCTGTGTGATTTGCAGAAACACTGTTCCTATTCACTTGAAACCACTTATGGCTTAAAATACTTATGGAGGTTTTTTTATTTCTCAAATTAAAATCTGGTTACTTGAGCTCCATCTTGTCCTTTGGTTTAAAAACAAAAAGGTTTCTCGACAGTATCTTCAGTGACAATGCAAGGTAAGTATATTAAGGGAAATCAACAATTGTGCTTGGGGACTTTTTGTCATGGGGATCAGTACCCACTCTTTGTTTTTTCCTTAATTTTAAATTATTGTCTACTGCAATTAAAGATTTTAAAGTTTTAAGGTTATCTAGTAGACAGACCAAACAAAATTGTTTTTTTTTTACTTTAAAATGAGTGATTTTTCTCTTCAGCTGATTTAAAGATGAAAACAAAATATCTTATGTAGAAGTATTTTGATAATATTTTTACAATGAACTTCCCCTTGTTTTTTTATGTCTTAATTTTCTTTGCTACGTTTACTGTAGGTTGCACAAGAACTTTTACTCTCTTGTAATTGTGCCTCAGACTTCTTGAAAGTCCACCTTCTAAATTTGCCCAGATGATCTTCCAGAGTCTACATGTTACCATTGGTTTATTCTTGTGCTTTCTGTATTTGAAACTTTGGCTGTACTAAGCAAATGCAAGGTTATAAATTTAGCTAATAGTTTACAGACAATTCAGATGATTATGATTTCATTTGTTTTAACTAAGCTGTACTAGTTCATTTCATGAGGAAATGATGCTGTAGACAAATGTAAATAAAGCTGTGAGTCAAGCATCAAGTGGCATTTGTGAGAAATAAATTAGAATTTTTAAGCTCTGAGTTAATGTTTATTTTTTAGCTAATTACAGTTTTGTTACATTTGATTGTGCATTTAAAATTCTTTATATTCACTTATCTTTGTGTAACATCACCTTTATTTATAGAGAAGTTCTTGGTTTAAAACATTGCAAAGCCATGATCAGCTATAGCGTTGGATACTCAAAATTCTTGTGACTTTTTAATGAAGAGTACCCAAATTGAATATTTCCTATCACAACATCCCACACTTATTTCATGTGGTAAAATAGCACTCTGTAGTGTGCTTCTAAAATTACTTGTAAAACTGGCTTCATAACATTTAATTGTCCGTTTTAATTGCTAAATTTCCTTAAGTTCTCCTTTAGTATCCTTTCATTTAAACAGTATTTGCATAGTATCTGCTAGTGTTTAAGTTCAGGGCAAGCTCTAAAATGCTAAACAACCTCTAGGTGCAATTATAAGGGCTAAATAAGACTTTGTTTCACATCTCAGTTTTTGTATCCTGGCACCCACAGCCACTGTTGTAGATGTTGGTAAGAAGGCAGGGAATTTCTCCACTCAGCCCTGTTTTTTTATAAAGTCATGAGATACTTTTTACATTACCTTGTAGCTTTCCTGAACTGGAAATTTTATTTTTTCTGGAAAATAGAGTGGACAGTTTTTATTAAAAGACAGTTTAAGGTGTGTAATAAGAGATAAACAGGTATTATATGATTCTGTCACTTTTAGACATGGTTGTATGTCTTCTGTTTTACAAAAAGGAAGGTTACAAGTTAAGGAAATTTAAACCTTGCCCAAGAGAACCACAGAAATTGCTAAATAGGAATTTACTTCTAAGTCTGATGGCAAATTTCAGTATTACCTCTAATAACCAAAGCCAGAATGGTCAGATGTTTTTTAACCTAGTGATTTGGTAAGACAGTATTAACTTTAATCATTATTTATAGGTAGGCAAATCAGATAAACACAAATTTGGAGTAGCTAGATTTACAGAAAAGTTGAAGAAATTGTACAGAATCCCAGTATACCCCCATCTAGTTTTCACCGTCGTTAACACATTACCACACACTTTTGACAAAACTAAGAAACCAATATTGAATTATTAATATTAATTACAATCAAGATTTCATGTGAATTTCACCATTTTCCATTACTCTGTTGAGGATCCAATCCAGGGTACCACCGTGCACTTAGTTGTCTTATGTCTGCAGTCACCTCTGGTCTGACAGTATTTCATTATTTCCTCGACAGTATTGACGAGTATTGGCTGAGTTTCCTGGCAAATATCCCCCATTCTAAATTAGTCTGGGTTTTTTTGTGATTAGAATGAGGGAGTTGGAAAAAATATCAGGAAAAGTTACTTTCTCATCAGATATCTGGGGCACATAATATCCAGATTTGCCCAAATTTATCATTATAGTTCGTATTTTTCCTTTAATCTACTCCATCCTTTGAAAACAAGCTACCAAGTATAGCCCACCTTCAAAGTAGGGAGGGGAATTGAACTCCACATCCTGTTGGGGAGGGTTGTCTGCTCACTTGGAATTGTTCTGTAAAAAAACCTCTTATTTATATCTGTATGGACTCCTATATATTTCTTTTATACTTTAGGTCATAGGCCAATACTCTGTTGTTCAATTGCTCAAATAGTTCTAGCTTTGGCCTTGGGAAGTTCTTTGAGATTGGGCCATTTTATATGCTTCCATTCTCAAATAGAACAAAGTAAATGATGGAGGAGGGAGAGGAGAAGTGTTGGAGAGGGATCATCAAATAGGTGAGGGGATAGGATCTAGATCCATCATGGTGGGGTGAAGGTGGGATGACTTGACCTTAAAAAAGCGCCTTGACAATTAAAGTATCAGGAGCCAACTTTGTATCCTTGAGAGTGACTAGTAAACAGTCTGGTTTCCTTTCATGGCATTGTACACATTTATAAAAAACGTTTTTAATAACTAATAGTTCCTAAATGTATGTATTTAGCAAAGTAAAAGGTACTAGTGAATGCAAATTATTTACAATAATCAGGTAAATTCCTAAATACTTGATCGGTATCTAGGAAAGTTACATAGTATTATTCAAGGATGTAAAAAACTGGGTTTGAAGCTAAAAGGATATAGGACAGCCCTATTCCTATTACCTTAATTTAGTGGGAGAACACTTATAAAATAATTTATAGTAGAAATAACATGTGTTAAAAATGGGAAGAATTAGTCTTGCCTGGATGAAAGCAAAATGCTTTAAAGGAACTGACTTCAGTAATTCTGAAGGACATGGTTTGTAGATAAACGTGAGAAATTGTGAAGGCTCAAGTTTTGATCATGTTTTTAGGGGACCAACAATAATCATGGTTGTGAGAAACTTTGGAGAAAGAAGGAACCTCTTATTTAATTTGTCAGCGTTAAACTGGACCACATTGAACACTGAGTGAACACAATGATAAGTTAGTGTTTTACTCAGAGCACAAATTTTTTATTAACCCCCAAAGATGAAACAGCTGTAGCCTATTAGCTTCATCACACAGGCTGGATATCTCCAACCTGGATGTAATATGAAGTAAAGTTGAATGGGTGTATTCCAGGGGTAGAATTGACAATGAGATTTGATTTCTGTCTTCTGTAGTGAAACTGCCTGATTTGAATTTTTACTTTATAGTAGCTGTATCACCCTAGTTCTTTGTGCCTGGCACATAAGCACACAGCAAATACTGACATTTTTTTAGTTTGGTAAGCCCATTATGTAACAAATACGTAGCAAACTGTTTCCTCTGCATTTGAAAGATTTGATTTCTTATGTGAGCAAGGGTAGAAAGAAAAGGAAATGTCAGGATTTATAAGGAATTTACATGTAAAAGAAAATCTTGTTCAAGGATTATAAAGACATATTTAACACTTGGAAAATTTTTGGCACACCATTTCGCTCCTGTCATTAGTTCCATTTTGATTGCATTTGCTGGGGCTGTTTGAATCAATATGATCTCTTTATTTTCAGATCCCTGATTTTTTTCATCATTCGATGAATTACCACAAGCCTTCTAGAGGGTAATTTGTCAGTCTCAGTATTTTAGAACATAACCAAAGAATTATGTTACTCAGTTATTTACAAATGTTGATTGAGTCTGCTGCATGCTTGGTAGTGATTAGATGGTAAAACAGCAAGGTATTCTAGTGACTGTATCAAAACTAGGAAAGCAAAATAATTACAAATTTTAATTAGTACCATGAAGGAAGTACGGAGCGGTGAGTAGAAGACCTGAAAGTCATGCAGATCATCTTTGGGAGAAAAATTTCTAAAATAATCTATACCCGAGTTGCTAAAGTGAGAATAATTCCTAAAAGATCTATACCCAAGTGCTAAGATAGACTTGATGCTGGTGTAAGGCAATGAGTTTAAAAAAGTATAAAATGAAGTGGCAGAGATAGAGGCTCTATCATTCAAAGCCTCTAGGCCATAGAAAAGAATTTTAATAGATTCTAAAGAGTTGGGAAATAGTGAAAGGTTTGAAGTAATCCTAGTTAGCTTTAAGCAAATTAGGCTACTACTTGGAGAACAGATTAGAAAAACCTACTTTATGGGAAAAGAATAGTGAGGCTTTCTTAAACAGATTGAAATACAGCATTTGTGTAATCCATATAGTCCTAAATTTGGAATTACGTAACTAATGTATGGGTCTTAAAACCTGAAAGTAAGATTACAGCAATAACATAAGAGGAAGAAGGTAAGTGATTTATTTATTTTTTATGTTAGCGTGTGTGTGGGCACATGAGTGGGGGCGGGGGGAGCAGAAAGGAAAGAAGAGGGAATCCTAAGCAGGCTCTATGCTGTCAGTGGTGAGCTTAACCTGGGTTTTGATCTCATGAGCCAAAATCAAAAGTGGGACGTTTAACTGAGCCATCCAGGTGCCCCAAGAAGGTAAGTGTTTTAAACTATTGTAAGATTCATTCCTCAAGAAGTAGTAAAAGTACTAATTTAAGGTAAACTTTAATAGTCAAGAACACATTCCGATTTCCACAATACAACAATAAGTAAGAAAAACAAGATAATAGGGCACCTGGGTGGCTCAGTTAGTTGGACGTCTGACTTCATCTCAGGTCATTTCACCGTTCGTGGGTTCAAGCCCCACGTTGGGCTCTGTGCCAACAGCTGTCTCAGAGCCTGGAGTCTCTTTCAGATTCTGTATCTCCCTCTCTCTATGACCCTCCCCTGCTCATGCTGTCTCTCTCAGAAATAAAACAGTAAAAAAAAAATTTTTTTAAGAAAAATAGGATAATAAAACTTTGATAATCCTAAAAGAGGTTTTAGAAAGACAAGTACATTAGGCTAGTTAAACTATCTGTAAGTGAAAATGGATTATACACCCCAATTATATCTTCTCACACTATATTGAAAACACAAAAAAACCTGTTAAAACTTTATAAGCTATGCATTCAGAATAAGAACACAGGTTGAAAATAAGGTGGAAACAAGGTTACCAAGCAAATACTAACCAGCATGTGGTGATAGTAATACAAACAACTGAGCTAGTGAGGTAACAGAAACTGTATAGTGATAAGAGGGTCTATTTTAACACTAATACCATATACTTGGAAGTGCACTT